ATATTATATTATATTATATTATATTATATTATATTATATTATATTATATTATATTATATTATATTATATTAACATGGCCTCCTTTTATTAGATATCTACAGTTTTCCATCCAAGATCAAGTCACAAGGTTAAAAGGTCAAAGCAAGCAACCCAGAAATCCCACTGCCTGTTGTAAAACAGTTTTGGATTTACTTTCAAGATCAAATTTTAAGTAAGTGTGTTCACTGAAGGGATTGTCAGAGCTTACTGTTTCCAGTCCAAACATAACGTTGAAAAACAACAATAACAACAACAAAAAAACAATAAAAACCCCACATCCAAAGCTCTGTTGAAACGAGTGATAAAAAAACGCACAGTGTTGAGGTTGGCTCAGAGAATTGTCTCAAGGGATTTTCCTCCTGTTATCTCACTCCATATATCATTTTGCGTATTAACTTGAATTTACAATATTTCCTCCACAGACTTTTAAGTTTATTAATACCATTTTTGCCAGGTTCCCTACGCAATCCTAAAACAGAAGCAGTTATCTGGACATAAAGTAATTTGTATGAAAACAATGTTTTGTTGAACTGACAAACATCTGCAGAATATAATGATGACCTTTTAATAATTTATGTAAGCGAAATAGCCTTAAATGCAAAGTTTTAAAGAGGGTTGTCAAAAAGGTAGCGGCTACTGTATCCGGCTCTGGAGGATGATTGTGGATAAATTATGTGTTTTCAATATTGCCAAAATTTGTTCAAACTTCATATATTTCATGTACTATTTTCTGTTTTGTTTTTTGTTTTTTCTTTTGTGTATTTTCTTGTATTAATTTCTGCAATGTGTACGCTTTCTGATGTTAGGACTTGTGGTTGAAAAATTTAGATTTCTCTTATTTCATATATTGATTTATGCAATTTACTTATTGTAACTTAGTGTAATTTTTCACTGAGCCTGTTTCACCTGCAAGGTCACATACTTCCCCTGTGTGAGGATGTTTTTAGACATGACATACCTTATTCCCATAAGAAGCCAGATTCTTTCAAGGTTTATTCAGAACATATTACTGTTTAACCAAAGTCTCTGTAATTAGTTTGACTCTGACTACTTTCCTTTATTGTAAGTAAGGGCCCAGGAAGAACAGGGCTGATTGCCGAGCAATAAGGGCCATATGATGAACTGTTCTCTCTTTGCAAAGATAAAATAAAATGCTGGATGAACTGACAGTGCAGTCAGTTCATCCAGATTATCATCCTGCCTTCCAATATTATTTCTGTCAGAGCCGCTCAGACCCCCACATATCGGTGGTGCGCCGACAGTAGGAATCCCATTCAACAGCAGCCTCTGGCTGGGTCGCCTCCTCGCGGTTCACCGCAGCAGGTGGTAGGTGTTTTTGATCTAAATGATCTAAAGTGCAGGCACCAGGATAATAAAAGCGAACATATTCTGCCGGCAGGTTTCTGCATTTTACGTTAATTTAGGCGTCAATAAACTGTTTCAGAGGAGTGATCACAGTGCTCTGTATCATCAGCGATGTGTCTGTCTCCCAGCCAGCTCCCAGATTAGCTTCTCTGATTGGTTGACGCGGTGCGTCGAGCAGCAAAAGTAAAATTTTTCGCTTCTGGAGCAGCAGCGCGTTTGCGGCGCGTCACGCGCGTCAGATGCTTAAACGCTCCCGATGCGCTGCTTCAGCTGCTCAGACTCGCTGCACCTGCTGCTCAAAATGCGCTGCGGGACCTTTTGCTGCACCTTGATGCGCATCAACCATTGACTTTGCATGTAAACTCGCTGCTTGTGCCGCGCCTGCTGCATCCGGTGTGAACGTAGCATTAAACTACGACTCTGCTTCCTGGTCTGCACCCTGGGTTGTCAAAGTTTTGGAGGATTAACAAATTCGTCCAGGTTCTTTGAAAGAAAAGCTGCACCATCCAAAGTGGGATGGATGGCGTCTCTCCGAATCCAACCAGGCTATCCCCAAAAGGATTGCCAATTATTAATGTAGCCCACGTTGTTTTCAAGACACCACCCAGACAACCAGCGGTTGAATGACGACATGCGGCTAAACAAGTCATCACTGGTCAGATTAGGGAGGGGACCAGAGAAAATTACGGAGTTCGACATTGTTTTGACAAACTTGCACACCGAAGACACACTAAATTTAGTGACCTCCGATTAGCATAAC